TAATTTATTTTAAATAATTATTATTATTGATAGTTAAGGACAAAAGTACTCTTATTGTATTATTGTATTGCCATTTTCAATTCATATTTAAAAGACAACTTATAGTCATTTGTATAAAAATGTTACGAGATATACGTTGCTAATGATTATAATTGAATAAACTTAAGTTTAAACAATTATCTAACAGTAGTAGACAAGTATAATTAATTTTTTTTTATAAATTTTGTTAAAGCGTTGTTAAGTTGGTAGAAGCGTCATATGCTGAATTTCACACATTAATATTGTCAGCGATGAGTTTCTAAATGATATTAAGGATATATCCGTGATATTCAACTTTTTGCTACTTAATCTTTGTATTTTTTTCTACTTAAATTAAAAAATAAAACTTGATTATAAGGTTGGCACAATTGTCATTTTTTACATTTCTTTTTTTTATTTATTTTTTAATTAATTTGGTTTAAAACAAATGACAGTTTGTGTGTGATATTGATATATAAAAATAGCTTTTATATTATTTAGTCATTGGTGCCAACTGTAAACCATAGCTTACTGTAATTTTAAATTTGGTTTATATTATTATCTGTTGTTTCATAATGCTTCAACAGCTGTGAAGAGATAAATATGGCTAAAAAAAATTGAATTTTTCAAATTCAAGCAAAAATGTGCGTTAATTCCATCTGGAGCATTCAACATTCCGTARTCTTAATAATTTTATTCCATTAGTAATTAATTTATGAAAGTAGGTAATTCAGTCAGTGACAGCTTTACATTTGTTGATATTTTCTTTATTCTTCTTTACAAAGTAACTTTCGATTGGATGATATTCAGAAGTAGAACAAATCGATTGTATCAAACAAGGCAGACGACTACATTATTAATTAATTTCCCTTAACGATAAATGGGGTTTTATTAACCCAACTTCTATTCATTTAAAAATGATTTGTGTTGTGGGGTTCAAGCTAATTAAACAAATCATTTTTGAATAATTGATTCCGATCGATTTGATGCCAATTTTTCGTCACAACGACGCCTAATTTCACTTCTTCCGGGATTATCCGCTTTCATTTTGGTATTGCAGTTACACAAGAGGCGCTTGGACCGCTTCCAGAAAATTATAATATAAATAGAACTATAGTCCTTCCATCCCAATTACTACTGTTATTATTTAAACACAACAAGGATGAAACAATTAGCGGCCACGTAAGTTTAATTAGCACAGGAGCGGCACTATTTTCTAATACCAGATGAAATACTGATTGGAAGTAAACTTTTCCACGGTATTTTTGCATCCAAATATTTATAAAGTCAACAATAAGACATTTTAACGACGTCAGTAAAATTTCGCTCAGGTTATGAGGTCGTTTCGCGCTAGTTTCGCCCCACACTGTACACAAGGTCGCAATTATTTTCATTTTAAAATTGAAGATAATTCGCTGTGCACTTGTGCATTGTTTTTACGACATGTACGACTTTCACTTGCAGTTACATGGTGATGTAAAAAAGCGATGGAAAGGTGTGTGAGATGGCCACCGGAGCATTCAAATCTGGGCTTTTATCGCACACTTATTTATAAATTTGATGCTTGATGAACAGATTTGGCAACTGTAAAAGTGAACAGTTAAGAATAACGGAAGTGAAAAAATTTTGTCGCGGCAAAATCACTGATTTGTGCGGAAAAAAAGTAAACAAAGCGCGGAAATGTGTTACAATTTTGAAAATTTTCAAATGGCATTGTCAAGGATCTCACACTGTATCAAAAAAGTGATCTGTACCAGTCCTCTAACTAACCGATTTATATTCCAACTTTTTTTCGTCTCGTTGGACGACTGTTGGAATTTTAAAAGCCGCGTTTTCGAGCCGGAATTCCAATTTTGAATTAAAATTAGAAATCGGGGTCGCCAGCTTTACTTACAAGTTCGGCAATTTTGAGTATTCCGGGTGTCGTTTTGAAATAATCCACATTGAGTTTAATCCATGCTAAAGGTTGGTCACTGGTTTGTGGTTTGTTTGCCGCATTATTGTTGGGTGCTTCTTGCACGTTCACTACCGTTTCTGTCATCATTAGACAGAAATGATTTTTTTGATTTTTGAAAAGACTGGTAACTCAATAAAGAAGGTTTTCTTTTAACACCTGTTAACACTACACGAGCACAACAATTTCTAGTTATAATATTCCAAGTTGGCGCGCGACGATCTCTCGGATTCCAGAGAGTACACTGAAGGTGGGGCTAATAAAGCTTACACGAACTGGGTCTCCGCACATGTCTTAGGTACTAGACAGAAATAAATATTTTTTTGTTTTCCGGCGTTGTAGATTTTGGAATAGTTTATAAGTAGAATTTTTATGATTTTTCCAACTTCAATGTTGTTTAAAATAGCACACTAGCCTTATCATATTACACCTGATTTTTTTCAAACGTTGGAATATTCTATAAAGCTTTTTATTGATTAAAAAGTGTTTTTTTTATTCACGGTCATATTGTTGTGTATAAAATACAGGATTATTATTGATGTTAGTAAAAAGCTGCAACTCACAATACACTTAAAACTAATCGACTGCGAAATACTTTTTAGTTATTACTTTGTCAATATTAACCTTCTACATAGTTACAATAAAATATTTATTTTTGATATTTACACGTAGTCCTAGTAGATATTTAAACGCAATTTATGAATTATTATCCTTGGAAATTTTAGTCAAAGATTTTATTTTGTGTGTGTTTGGGATATTACAGTCCATAAAGTGTAATAAGAAGATGAATGCTCCGCCCATTTTAAATTGCTAGCAACTAGCAGACCTATTGTATCAGAGCAAAAATTACACTGGACAATTTTTTCCGCGGTTTTATGTAGCAAATTCAGCTACAATAAATTATAAATAAATTCTAGTGGGTCAGGTCAGGTCATGTCAGGTCAGGTCAGATCGATCAAAATTTATGTTTTTTTTTGGTTGGGAATGATATACAGGGTCATTTTTAATGAAAAGCGTTATGGAATTTTTATTTATGGCTTTATTTTATAAATTAAAAAACTTAATTTTGTACTCAATGTTAAAGAGTGCTTTTATCAACTAATTTCAGAGTATATAGATAAAGTAGTTTTTTATCGTCTAGTGAAATAAACTAATTTTTATCTACTCCACTTTGACCAGTGTATTCATCAGCTAGATACAAGAAATTCTGGTAGGTGAGTATAAAATAAAACGAAATATTATACACGACGATAAAGATTGTTTATCTACTCGTGAAATAAGTCCATTCGTGACTTCGTCACTCGTAAACTTAACCTTTTCACTCATAGATAAACAATTTCGTTATCGTCTTGTATAATAAATAACTAAAATTAAATGGCTTTTAATATACAGGGTATTTTAGAACTCGCATCCCAGAGAAAAATTCTAATTGATAACAAGAACATGAAAAAAACGTTTAAAAATTTTTATCTGTCTAAACTTTTGACATTTGATATATTTCTATGTATATTTAATGKTCTTGTAGGTATATGTTTTTTCATAATTATTTAGTAAAGGTACACAATTAATGTTAAACACAGTAGTTAAAATTTAGCATACAGCGTCTTTGTTTTCTTTTCTAATAGTCTGTAGCAAAAAAACTTGTAAAATTATTGTTCCAACAGAAAAACAAAAAAAATAAAGTCAAATTGCAAAATTTAAACTCTCATAATTTTTAAATTCTTTTATGTGGATAGAATTTTTTAAATATTTTTTCAACATTTTCGCCATATTCCTACTGGTATCTTATCTTACTTGGAATTTTTCTCTAGGACGCGAATTCTGAAACACCCTCTAGTATAACTTGACAATTTTAGAATTTTTCTCAATGTCATAATATACAGGGCGATTCAAAAATATCGGACCAACTCTCGAATGGTGATTATTAAATAAAATAATTATAATAGTTATTCAAAATTTCCAAAAACTTAGGCAACTAGTTTTACTTAGATGCTACGAAGAAATATTAAACATTCTTTGCCATGTAAATTAATAAAATTACTGTAAAATAGATTATTTGACACTGCTGTCACGTCTGTACTTCTTTTTTTAATGCACTATACAGCTACTTTCAAAAAAGAGGGAAAGGTCAAAAAAGTTTTTTTTCAATTTTTCATTTTGACCAAACCGTATCTTAGTGTCCTCTTTTGGAAATTCTAAAAAACAATGTGAACGTGTTTTATTAAAAATGGGTTAAAATATTTTGATGACACTTTAAATTCTGTCGCTAAATTTATCATTTTCCAGGTGAGCGATTATTCTGGCTTTCTCTACTTTACTTAAATGCGCCATTTTTTTAAATGTATTTGTATAAAGCTAGGGTTTCCTACAAAATGCCTACAAAGCGATGCCGTAATATTGCGGCCGTAATATGGAACGACGTCACGAKAAAACGGTTCCAAATTTTTGAACTGAGATGGTTTCCTAAAACTTAAGCTTAAAAAAACATTTTTTAATAACTTAATGAAAAATGTGATCGCCACCGTTTTTGTGACGTCATTCACCGTCATATTACGGCCGTAATACCGTGCGATCAAAAAAAAAAAATAGAGTAGGTGTCGATTAAATTGTACAGTTGGCAACACATTGACTGGGAATCTGGGCTGGAGATTATCCACAGAAACTTAAAGTGAAAATGACRATTCATCGTTTTGGTCTTGTACAGCAATAAAAATTTTCTGCTCTAAAGTGAACATTATTTTACTCAAAAGGAATAAAACGCAAACMTGTCAAAGTCTCCGCTTACATTTGATATCAAAAATCAGGATTGTCATCTGAAGGACTTTAATCACCGCCTACTCTAATTTATTAATTTTTTGATCGCACGGTATTACGGCACCGCTTTGTAGGAAACCCAAGTAGTGTATTTATCAAAGAGTGTATTGTTGATTGCATAAACCTTATTTTGTTGCAATGTTGGTTGCATACAATAATTTACTTTCTAAAAATAAAGCTCCCAAACATTTTTCCCACCCGGCAGTAGGTCGTTTATTGCATCAACCGTAGACGTAGAATAAATCAATCCGTCCATTTCTTCCATCTCATCCGTTCATTGTTACAGAATCGTACCAAAACGGATACAGATGGCATACAGATCTGTAAATTTTCTTCTTAAATTCCATATAAAGTGTGTCCAGAAATAAAAATGTGAAACGCAAAGTGMGCTTGATTTACTTATCGACTATTCCTGATATGGTAAGCAAAACAAGATTTGTTTGTATTGAAAAGAGGTTAGGAAACGGATGTTATTTACTTTTTGCGATAAAAATAAATGGCGCTTATCACGAAATAGGTAAACCGACAATATGCAAACAAAAACAATCAAAACCTGTCACTAAAGGAATTTTGACCTAGAGGTGTTAGCATTAATTTATTGAAAATAGGATGTCCTAGATACGCTACGATAACAATCATTTAAATTTATACACATTTATTTTGCTTTTGTTTTTAATCAGACACTTAATTGGTGCTTCCATATTATTTCTTTGTTGCAAAATTAGAAAAAACAGTAATTTCACCTTTTATTGTCAAGTCACTGGAAAAAATCACATTTGTTACCTTCCGGGTGAATTAATACATAATTGCGAACAAAAGAGTGCTTCACTTTCTTTTGTTTTATTGAAATGCAGGTGAGAGGGTATAATCGGGCGGTTGAACTTTTATTTCGAGGTCAGAAATGATTGAAATACAATCCTGACATTTTATTGTTAWTATAGCTTTAATTTATGTGCTTAGGCCAATTAGCGGACAAATATTTTGTTACGTTAGATCGTTGCGCTTGAAGTCTTTTTTTTTTAATCAAATGGACTGCACAGGGTAGTGCATTGTAGATGCCTATATATGGGGTTTCCGAAACCACGTTTTTGAGAAAATAATTTTGATCAAAACCGTGTTTTGGTGTCCTCTTTTGTTAATTCCAAAAAACAAATTTTGTTAATTGCAAATATGATTTATAAAACTTCTGACCTTACGTTATTAACATTTGTTTCAGTAATATGTAATTATAAAAACGTTTAATGAAAGATCTAATATTTTTTTAGCCAGCTACTCTTTTTCATATTAATGTGCAACAAATAGGTTCTAGAAGTTTAAATGCATCTTTAATTTAAAGGCTGATTCACACAAAAAGWGTCATTAATGTCTTTCAGAKCAAATTTAATCACATCAATAATGACAAAAATCTTTATGTTTGTTACCCRGTGTTAATTACGTTGTTAATTTTATTATTTATTGCTACTTGGGGTACATTTGAATTTATTTGAAAAAATATTTTTTAGGGAAGGTTGAGGTTGGGATTGTTTGAATTCTTGCATGATTGCCACCTTAAAATGATCCCTTTCAATGACTACTTTGATGCACAATAATATGAAATCGAGTATATCATATGACATATGTATTCGTCTAAAGATGTTTAAAACTGTCGTATTATATAGATATACAGCGTGTTTGAGAACTCATGCCGAAAAGAAAAATTTCAAGTAAGATAAGATACTAGGAACGTGGAAAAAATATTTAAAAAATCCTATCTGTCAAAAATTTTTGACATTTGACATTTTTTATGTCTATTTTGATCCTGTATTTTTTTAAATTATTTAGTATAGGTACAAAAATTTTGTCAATAAAAGCCACAAAATCACGTTAAAAATGGTTACAATTTAGATTACAGCTTCCTTGTTTCTTCTTCAATAGCCTACAATAAAAGAAAATTATTTTTCTAACAGAAATAGAGTCAAAGTGAAAAATTTAGACTCCCATAATTCCGAAATTAAAAAAAAAATGTTTAGATTATTAGTAAGTACAGTGATGGACAGTGAATTTCGTCCACCCAATTTCTGTGAATTCACAAAAATTCACTGTAGTCTGTGCTTTATTGTCATGATAATTGACATTCAAATACGAATTGTCAAATTTAATCAAATTCGAACATGAAGGTACAAGAAGGTATGTCTCAAAGACGTGTCTCTATACTTTTTGGCATACCAAGGACTACCATTTCGAAGGACAAAGGTAAAAAGTTGCAAAAATTATCGAGCCTTCTGTCAACATGACAAACGTTAATCAAAATTCTGAAACAAGGTTAGAAAAACCTAAAGACTAATTTACACTTTTAATCTGTCAAGGAAATTGGGTGGACGAAATTCACTGTCCATCACTGTACTAAATAACTTTTTGACGTATCTGTCAATAAAAAGCAATTATCTTGGAAAAAAAAAAAATAATTATGATTCTGAAATTTGGTATAGGGACCTAAATGTTGATTTTAAACAACTTTTCTTAATAACTTTTTGTCGTATTTGCCACACAAAAG